TCAAGCATGACACGTCTATCATGACACTTCTAGCATGACACTTCTAGCATGACACTTCAAGCATGACACTTCTAGCATGACATGTCAAGCATGACACTTCTAGCATGACACGTCTGGCATGACACTTCTAGCATGACATGTCAAGCATGACACTTCTAGCATGACACTTCTAGCATGACACGTCAAGCATGGCACTTCTAGCATGACACGTCTGGCATGACACTTCTAGCATGACATGTCAAGCATGACACTTCTAGCATGACACTTCAAGCATGACACTTCTAGCATGATATGTCAAGCATGACACTTATAGCATGACACTTCAAGCATGACACTTCTAGCATCACACTTCAAGCATGACACATCTAGCATGACATGTCAAGCATGTCACTTCTAGCATGACACGTCAAGCATGGCACTTCTAGCATGACACGTCTAGTATGACACTTCTAGCATGACACTACTAGCATGATACTTCTAGCATGACACGTCTAGCATGACACTTCTAACATGACACGTCTAGCATGACACTTCAAGCACGACACTACTAGCATGACACTTCTAACATGACACTTCTAGCATGACATGTCAAGCATGACTCTACTAGCATAACACTTTTAGCATGACACTACTAGCATGACACTACTAAAATGACACTTCTAGCATGACACTACTAGCATGACACTTCTAGCATGACACTTCTAGCATGACACGTCTAGCATGACACTTCTAGCATGATATTACTAGCATGACCCTTCTAGCATGACACCTCTAGCATGACGCTACTAGCATGACACTTCTAGCATGACACTTCTAGCATGACACTACTAGCACGACACTTCTAGCATGAAACTTCTAGCATGACACTACTAGCATGACACTACTAGCATGACACCTCTAGCATGACATTACTAGCATGACACTACTAGCATGACACTTCTAGCATGACACTACTAGCATGACACTTCTAGCATGACACGTCTAGCATGACACTTCTAGCATGACACGTCTAGCATGACACTACTAAAATAACACTACTAGCATGACACTACTAGCATGACACTACTAGCATGACACTACTAGCTTGACACTTCTAGCATGACACTACTAGCATGACACTACTAGCATAACACTACTAGCATGACACCTCTAGCATGACACTACTAGCATGACACTACTAGCATGACACTTCTAGCATGACACTACTAGCATGACACTTCTAGCATGACACGTCTAGCATGACACTTCTAGCATGACACGTCTAGCATGACACTACTAAAATGACACTACGAGCATGACACTACTAGCATGACACTACTAGCATGACACTTCTAGCATGACACGTCTAGCATGACACTACTAAAATGACACTACTAGCATGACACTACTAAAATGACACTACTAGCATGACACTACTAGCATGACACTTCTAGCATGACACTACTAGCATGACACTACTAGCATGACACTACTAGCATGACACCTCTAGCATGACACTACTAGCATGACACTACTAGCATGACACTTCTAGCATGACACTACTAGCATGACACTTCTAGCATGACACGTCTAGCATGACACTTCTAGCATGACACGTCTAGCATGACACTTCTAGCATGACACGTCTAGCATGACACTTCTAGCATGACACTACTAGCATGACCCTTCTAGCATGACACCACTAGCATGACGCTACTAGCTTGACACTTCTAGCATGACACTTCTAGCATGACACTACTAGCATGACACTTCTATCATGAAACTACTAGCATGACACTACTAGCATGACACTACTAGCATGACACCTCTAGCATGACACTACTAGCATGACACTACTAGCATGACACTTCTAGCATGACACTACTAGCATGACACTTCTAGCATGACACGTCTAGCATGACACTTCTAGCATGACACGTCTAGCATGACACTACTAAAATGACACTACTAGCATGACACTACTAGCATGACACTACTAGCATGACACTACTAGCATGACACTACTAGCATGACACCTCTAGCATGACACTACTAGCATGACACTACTAGCATGACACTTCTAGCATGACACTACTAGCATGACACTTCTAGCATGACACGTCTAGCATGACACTTCTAGCATGACACGTCTAGCATGACACTACTAAAATGACACTACGAGCATGACACTACTAGCATGACACTACTAGCATGATACTTCTAGCATGACACGTCTAGCATGACACTACTAAAATGACACTACTAGCATGACACTACTAAAATGACACTACTAGCATGACACTACTAGCATGACACTTCTAGCATGACACTACTAGCATGACACTACTAGCATGACACTACTAGCATGACACCTCTAGCATGACACTACTAGCATGACACTACTAGCATGACACTTCTAGCATGACACTACTAGCATGACACTTCTAGCATGACACGTCTAGCATGACACTACTAAAACGACACTACTAGCATGACACTACTAGCATGACACTACTAGCATGACACTACTAGCATGACACTACTAGCATGACACGTCTAGCATGACACTTCTAGCATGACACGTCTGGCATGACACTACTAGCATGACACTACTAGCATGACACTACTAGCCTGACTCTTCTAGCATGACACTACTAGCATGACACTACTAACATGACACTTCTAGCATGACACTTCTAGCATGACACTTCTAGCATGACACTACTAGCATGACACTTCTAGCATGACACTTCTAGCATGACACTTCTAGCATGACACTACTAGCATGACACTACTAGCATGACACTTCTAGCATGACACTTCTAGCATGACACTACTAGCATGACACTACTAGCATGACACTACTAGCATGACACTTCTAGCATGACACTACTAGCATGACACTACTAGCATGACACTACTAGCATGACACCTCTAGCATGATACTACTAGCATGACACTACTAGCATGACACTTCTAGCATGACACTACTAGCATGACACCTCTAGCATGACACTACTAGCATGACACTACTAGCATGACACTTCTAGCATGACACTTATAGCATGACACTACTAGCATGACACTACTAGCATGACATTTCTAGCATGACACTTCTAGCATGACGCTACTAGCATGACACTTCTAGCATGACACTACTAGCATGACACTTCTAGCATGACACTTCTAGCATGACACTACTAGCATGACACTACTAGCATGACACTTTTAGCATGACACTACTAGCATGACACTACTAGCATGACACTACTAGCATGACACTACTAGCATGACACTACTAGCATGACACTTCTAGCATAACACTACTAGCATGACACTACTAGCATGACACTACTAGCTTGACACTTCTAGCTTGCCAATCCTCGCCTTCAACATCATTTAGTTGTTAGAGCATAAATTAATTTCTCTTAAATAGTTTTAATATCATTATTTTTGTTTCGTATTAATGTCACTTTTTTGGCAATTGTTGTAGTTTATTTTGGATCTAAAGTGTTATTTACAATGAGTTTTCATCCAAAAATATCACATTACAACTTGTGGTTTACTATTCCTATTAAGTTTTTTTTTATCGGCATTTGACTTACATCGGGAAATACGGTTTAACATTGTTACAAACGAGATATCCTCAAGTTAAATTTAAATTTATCTTTGTAATTTAAGTTATTAATAGTCATTTTAGATATAAAGATTTAATTAATTGTGGCAAGTATATGGTCAAACATCGTTTATCACAGTACATGTTCTCTCTGTAATGTTAAATATATTGGCAGCACTTCCACGGACTTACAAACAGGAATATATTAACAGAGGAAAATCTTACAGGGCTTTCATACCCCTCGTTTCCAGCTACCAGACTCCGTTCTGAGACTCAGTATCATTAGCAGTGTGGTAATAACTTTAAAATTATAGCCGAAGCACGTAATAGGTTAAATCTAAGAATTTTAGATAGCGTCTATGGTAGGCAGTTCATATCTGAACGATTTAGCTGTGTCTCCCCCGGTTTAGAGCTTCTTAATGGTTGTCCTTGTCTCTCAAAGAGCTTGCAGGACCCACTTCCCACCTCTAAATCGTCCTCACATACTCTCACTGACCTCCTCGCTGAAAGTCCCCCAACTTTAATGCAGACTCACTCTTTCTAAATTAAAATTACATATTTCACCAACTTTAATTTCAATTTTGCTTGCACTAACCCCAATCCAGTACAAGCCTCTAACTTTGCACGCCCCTACATATTACTCATTCTTAACTTTCCCACATTTTTACTTTCACACTTTCCTCCCAACAGTGCCGAATGACCCTTTTGGTTTTAGTGCTTAAGTTGATTATAATAGCAGTTATAATTATTAGATGACACATGTATTCAACACCTGTCCATTCACCTGAGGTGCAGTGTGTGTGTGTGTGTGTTGTGTGTGTGTGTGTGTGTGTGTGTGTGTGTGTGTGTGTGTGTAGTACCTGTCTACCTTCACCTGAAGAAACTTGCTCTCCTCAGTGTGTTCTTTTAGTGTTTATATTGCTTTCAACTACCATAAATTGAAAATGTAAATCGTTCCCACCATACTGAATATATCTGTGTATTTTACATGGGAAATAATCCCACATTTCCCAGTACTTAGAAGACGAACATAATAGCCAAACTGAACAACAATCTTTCATGTTACCCCCATGTATGATGCAGAGATTCATTCACATATATATATATATATATATATATATATATATATATATATATATATATATATATATATATATATTATATATATATATATATTATATATTATATATAATATATATATATATATATATATATATATATATATATATATATATATATATATATATATATATAAATATATATATATATATATAATATATTATATAAACTGACCAAAAAATAAGGAGAGATCTCGGTAGAGGGGAGTTCACGAAGACTGTGATTTTTCAATCAATAACAGAGAGTACCCTCCGAATAAAGGCTTTGCGATCCAGCAATGTCTGACAACTTGGATTCGAAGATCACATTGTCGACAAACTGAAGACCAGAAACATGTTACAGAATGAGCTTTGTAATTTGCTGCAACATTTCGTTCAGTGTGGATCTTTATCGAGTTACTTTACAAGAATTTCCAGTCATATTTTGTTGCAGTGGTTTGTTTTCCTTGGTATGATTCCGATTATACGTCTAAAATAATTGTTTTGGTAAGAGTTATCATTGTTGGTTTGTTACAACAGGGTCGCTCGTAACGGAGGGAGAGGCTTTGCTCCACCCATAACTACTTATATTCTGCCACTTCAGACCCCCATGATTGTGGGTCAGTGGGAGAGTGGTTAGGCCTTCGGCTCACCACCCACAATCCGAGATTCGATTCTGGAGGAGTGAAGGTCATGGAGTTGTCTCCTTTCCCCTCTTCACGTAGCGGTAACTAGGTACGTCGATGATAGCTAACTGTTGGGAGTCGCATACCGGGGGGGGGGGGGTTCCATATCTTAGATATACAAATCAGTTGAGGTGGGATAATAATGAGTGAACTGATTTAGTGTAAATGTTCATCGTGGTGTGGAAGGCGGTGGTGGTGGGATGGAGGGGGGGAGGGAGTGTTTTACCTGAGGTGGAGGCAATGGAGGAGGCGTTGATGGAGTCGCTGACTATGGAGGTACGGGAGGAGGCTCGTCTGGAAGGAGGCAGCGAGTCTGCAGAGATGGGGAGGTAGTTGTTAGTGCCAGTAAAGATGGAGGAGGTAATTGTTAGTGCCAGTAAAGATGAAGGAGGTAGTTGTTAGTGCCAGTAAAGATGGAGGAGGTAATTGTTAGTGCCAGTAAAGATGGAGGAGGTAATTGTTAGTGCCAGTAAAGATGGAGGAGGTAGTTGTTAGTGCCAGTAAAGATGGAAGAGGTAGTTGTTAGTGCCAGTAAAGATGGAGGAGGTAGTTGTTAGTGCCAGTAAAGATGGAGGAGGTAGTTGTTAGTGCCAGTAAAGATGGAGGAGGTAGTTGTTAGTGCCAGTAAAGATGGAGGAGGTAGTTGTTAGTGCCAGTAAAGATGGAGGAGATAGTTGTTAGTGCCAGTAAAGATGGAGGAGGTAGTTGTTAGTGCCAGTAAAGATGGAGGAGGTAGTTGTTAGTGCCAGTAAAGATGGAGGAGGTAGTTGTTAGTGCCAGTAAAGATGGAGGAGGTAGTTGTTAGTGCCAGTAAAGATGGAAGAGGTAGTTGTTAGTGCCAGTAAAGATGGAGGAGGTAGTTGTTAGTGCCAGTAAAGATGGAGGAGGTAGTTGTTAGTGCCAGTAAAGATGGAGGAGGTAGTTGTTAGTGCCAGTAAAGATGGAGGAGGTAGTTGTTAGTGCCAGTAAAGATGGAGGAGGTAGTTGTTAGTGCCAGTAAAGATGGAGGAGGTAGTTGTTAGTGCCAGTAAAGATGGAGGAGGTAGTTGTTAGTGCCAGTAAAGATGGAGGAGGTAGTTGTTAGTGCCAGTAAAGATGGAGGAGGTAGTTGTTAGTGCCAGTAAAGATGGAGGAGGTAGTTGTTAGTGCCAGTAAAGATGGAGGAGGTAGTTGTTAGTGCCAGTAAAGATGGAGGAGGTAGTTGTTAGTGCCAGTAAAGATGGAGGAGGTAGTTGTTAGTGCCAGTAAAGATGGAGGAAATAGTTATTTTATTAAAAGTGCTTTATTATTATTATAATTATTATTATTATTATAATTATTGTTATTATTATTATTATTATTATTATTATTATTATTATTATTATTATTATCATCATCATCATCATAATCATTATCACTGCCACCACTACTGCTACTACAAATAATAATAATACAATAATAATAATAATAATAATAACCTTATTTTATAATTATCATCATTGATATACTCTTGGGAGAGCGCTAAACCCGCAGGGGTCATGCAACTCCTGGGAAATGAGAGACAATAAAAGAAAGGAGAGAGAGCTGCTTTAGTTCCTTGGATGAAGAGCCCTTTATCATGAGGGTCCTCCTCAGAGGGCGGTGCCAGCTGCCAGCTGGTGTGCCACCTGCAAAAAAGAGAGGGAGAAAGAGAGAGAGAGTTCCACCTGCGTCTCCTGACGCAGGTGGTGAGAATAATGACTAGTCCGCTGGTTTATCTAAAAGGTACGCTGGTTTATCCAAAGCGTGCGCTGGTTTATCTGAAGGATCCGGTGGTTTATCAGTGATAGTTGTCAGTAATTATAGCGCAGGTATTATATGTACAGTCATTAAGTTTAACAGTGTTAAACCCTCGTAGATAAGCGTCTGCTGGTTTATCCAGGCTTGGTTTGTCACCCCATTGGAAAGACTGAGCGTTCGTATCCTGAGTGAAGTAGATAGATAGACGACACAGATAAGTGAATAATACGGGAGTGCATGATGACAGCTGTCAATAACCAGAGTGCATGATGACAGCTGTCAATAACCAGAGTGCATGATGACAGCTCTCAATAACCAGAGTGCATGATGACAGCTGTCAATAACCAGAGTGCATGATGACAGCTGTCAATAACCAGAGTGCATGATGACAGCTGTCAATAACCAGAGTGCATGATGACAGCTCTCAATAACCAGAGTGCATGATGACAGCTGTCAATAAAAAGAGTGCATGATGACAGCTGTCAATAAAAAGAGTGCATGATGACAGCTGTCAGTAACCAGAGTGCATGATGGCAGCTGTCAATAACCAGAGTGCAATGATGACAGCTGTCAGTAACCAGAGTGCATGATGACAGCTGTCATTAACAACAACAGATATACTCCCAGATAACAGAGATCAGAGCTGCAATATTCACCCACTAACAACAATTATCCACAAGCATTTATATCGTCTATAGTTCTGTTTAGCCTTCTCTTAATAGAAAATATCGTGTCCCTTTCACATGATAGCGGGAAATATCGGGATAGCGCAACGAAAAACAAATCCTGGATTAAAAAAAAAATTATTCCATGTCAGATGGACAATCAAATGTTTTATTGGTGTTGCAGAAATATATATATGATCAAAATTCTACCCCCCCCCCCCCAAAAAAAATTAGAGGATGAAAAGCTTTTGTAAATATATATACAAAAATGCTGGGAATTTGTATTGTTACTTGTCGCTCTTTGCTACGATGATGAGTCGAGATGATAGTTCCTATTTATAGTGTTCTAATTCCTGATGTCCCACGCTACGAAAATCTTTGAAAGAATTCCGAGGGAAAAGATGCTTATATCATACAATCACAGTAATGACACAACTCTGAGTAACGTAAGTTTGTAGCAAGTGACTCCTGCTTCTCGCAGCTGCTGGTCTGGGATGCACTGAAAGAGAAACAAAAATGCAGATGTAATGTACATAGATGTTTCAAAAGCCTTCGGATTCGTTTACTAATTGTTTCCTAATAATGTACGTTTAAGTTTAAAGCCGAGTTACCTAAGCCAGCCGGATGACTTACCTAGATCCCCAGAGTGGAGAGACGGAACACGAGATCCTTCACTGACGTTGAAATACGCCTGGAGGACTTACCTAGATCCCCGGAGTGGAGAGACGGTACACGAGATCCTTCACTGACGTAAGAGTACGTCTGGTCGAACTCGTCAGTGATCTTGATCTTGGGGGTGAGGATGGACGGTGCCGCCGCAGTCAACACCGAAGAGGCGATGTTGTTGCACTGGGCCAGCAAGGCGAGTTGCAGGATCCCTGAACAGATTTGTAAGATCATATGAGTGACCAGACAGAAAAACAGATAGAAAATTACTTAAATTACTCGCTTTTTGGGTACCTCAAATGTGCAGTAACAAATATGTATTATGTATCTTAAATATGCATTTTGTATCATACATGTGTAATGTGCATCTCCAAATTTTGTTCATTCTTCAAGTTATCTAATATTGCAGAGACTATTGAATTATCTAAAATAAAACATTCTGCCCTCTCTTGCCCATCTGCAAGTCTTCAGTAAACAACTGAATCTCTGTTCCATTGCCGAATACCTGAGGGAAAAGAAATATAAGCAAATATAAAATACCATATAGTGCATGTGAAATATAGTTTCTCCCCAAAACAATACTCGGGGAAATTGTAAATAAAACAGTAGATATGCAAAGGGCGATAGTAAATTAAAAGAAACATTGCGAACAGATCTCTGCTCCTGTAGCTACACAAACTGGAGATGAGAGACCATGAGGAAAGGTTGCACCTCTTGCTACAAATAGGATAGTTCAAATAGGCAGAGAGTCTTGTTGTCCACTTGTCTGGAAGGAATCCATGAATGTGGATGGGTTGTTGTTGGGTATTTATGAAAATTCAGTGTTGTGCGAGCCGTGGTTACAAGGAGATTAATTTGAGGAGAATATCCGATTCGAAGGACCATCACTAAAACGGGATCTCACCTTTGTTGTTGGGTGCGCCTGGCTCTCCTCCCTGGAAGGCGGTGTGAGGAATTGTTCTCAGCAGTTTGATAATTCTGGCACCACCATAAAGGAAGGTCACACACAGCACAAGACCCCAGCTCAGGAAAATCGTCTGTACTGCCCAACGCACCACCTGAAATACAACATACTCTACTGTATTTCTCGAGATGGGAAACCCGTGTGCATTATTTTAGTGCAAGCAGTGGATGGAGGTTTAATTCTCCATCCATTAATCGCAGCCCAATCTCTGTGCAGCGAAGTTATTGGCTATCACCTCTAACAGTACACACCACCAGGGGCAGGGATGTCAGAAGCTGTGACTCGACGCTATCATTCATCTCCCCTTGTGGTTACTTTGCGCACACACACACACACACACACACACACACACACACATACTTAATGGGAAGTATATAGAAGTTGAATGTGATGATTAGAGAGTGACAGGTCGTTGAAAGATAATAAGAGGGAGACAGTAGGTAGTAACGAGCAATAACAAGAGGCATTCACAGATAAATAAATAATATGTTGGACACGAAAATTGGACGAGGCTTCAGTCTGTCCCTAGAGGAGGTATCAGTCTAAACCAGAGGTTTCAATTCATCCAGGATGTGGATTCAAGACATCTTAGACGAGGTTTCAATCCGCCCTGGACGAGGGGCGAGGTTTCAGCCCATTCTCGACCATCATCAAGTAATAACTCCAGACTGAAACTTCATTGGGTTTTCATTTCCAACTTGTGGCGCCACTTGTCACTTGTTCGGGAACTAACAGGCAACAACAAAAGTAACATCCAACAATAGCGAAAGTGAACATAGCGACAACATTTATCAGCACCAAGCTAACAAGTGAAAAAAATTAATGTTAGTTAAATAAAATAACATCTCAAAGAAAAATAATCTTATGAGCATAATTCCTCAATGGATAACACACCTAATGTGTCTACTGAACACTGCTTTAAATGCCACTCGGAAAGTTATTAAGGCGATCCTTAATTGGACCACTTCTAGCGCCTCTGGTGTGAGATTTATCCACGATACTTATTATCCTTTTTTTTTCTTCTAAACTTTTATTCCAAAGACGTAATTTGGGTGTCCAGTGTCTTCGCTGATTTTTTCCTCTCTTTTTTTATATATAAGAATCCCTCTGATGAAGCTCTTCTATATATTGTGATTTTTTTTTTTTTTGGTAAATGTGATTGAAATGGCGTATCCACAAATGAGTGACTCAAACTATGAAGGTCTTTCTATGCAGCTTTCAATTTTTTATGTACTTTTTCACTCGAGAAAGGTCACTCTGTATTGAAGAGCTTTATGAGAGAGCTCACCCTAACATTTTTGTAATGTTATGCAAACTCTAATCTCTCTCTCTCTCTCTCTGTCTCTCTCTCTCTCTCTCTCTCTCTCTCTCTCTCTCTCTCTCTCTCTCTCTCTCTCTCTCTCTCTCTCTCTCTCTCTCTCTCTCTCTCTCTCTCTCACACACACACACACATACACACACACTCACAAACATACACAGCAGAGATTTAGGAAGGGCACCAATGTTGTGGCTTCCACGGCCAAACTGCCTTATACAACGGAAGCTCAATTGACTTGTTTGTGCTGGGATGTCGACTGCTCCCTGGGTCGATAAATGCCAGACAGGCTTGTGCCACAAGTGCCTGTGTTTATCCTATGGATGCATCCCAGGATCCTCACCCCTGCAGCCCGGGCCCCAGACCAGGCCTCCCCTTTGGTAAACTGTTCCGTAATTTCACCAGGGGGTTAATGTAGTCCAGTGATGTGCGTCGGTCCTATGAAAACAAATGAGTGTCGAAGAGAAAGGAAAAACGAGATTGTAAACAAAAACGAAATCATTTAAATGTGATGTGTTGATACTGCAACCGGGAAGCAAATTGTATGTATGTGTGTGAAAGGGTTGCCAGGATGTTTATGACAAGCAACGTATTGATATAGGAGTGTATGTATGTGTTGTGTGTGTTGTGGGGTGTGTGTGTGTGTGTGTGTGTGTGTGTGTGTGTGGTGTGTGTGTGTGTGTGTGTGTGTGCGCGTGTGTGTGTGGAGGTGGACAGTGACAGAATGTGCCAGAGATGGGACACAGCAACAAAGGGTCACAGTTGGAAGTTGAAGACTCAGATGAATCACTGGGATGTTAGGAAGTATTTCATCAGTCACAGAGTTGTCAGGAAGTGAAATAGTCTGGGAAATGACGTAGTGGAGGCAGGATCCATACATAGCTTTAAAAAGAGGTATGATAAAGCTCATGGAGCAGGAAGAGTGACCTAGTAGCGACCAGTGAAGAGGCGGGGCCAGGAACTATGTATCGACCCCTGCAACCACAAATAGGTGAGTACACCACTCTTCTTGTAGCAACAAATGAATAATTAAATCCTAAAAAAATTCATCAGTATTCCCTAGTCTACAGAAGCTACGGGTAAGATAATTCCCCAGAGACACTAATAAAGAAATAGAGATGCCTCCCTCTTCTCTTTTTTGGTAATTCATCACCTACCTCTTCCTCCCAAGCTCCACTTCCTTATACACAGTGTGAAGACTAGGTATGATGAGACAAAGTGGCAAAACCAGTAATCCAATCTTGGTATAAGAGCTTCGCTCAGCAACCGTGATTCGACCCTCAGAAACACAAACCGGTGAGCACAATCAGTGATGAAGGTCATTAACAAAGTTGAACGGAGGGAGAGTGAAGGTAATTAAGGAAGTATGGTTGGTATAACCTGTGATCCCTGGATGGTCTAAAGTGTTAGATGCAGCTGTCGGAACACCCGAGTCTTTTTTCAGTAATATTATTACAAGTATACCTTGCTAAAGCAGAAGATAGAGGCACAATACCGTGACCGGAACAATACACAAATAACCCGCACATAGGAGACAGTTGCAGTCCAATTTGAACTTTGTAAATGGTTCAAGACGGACCGAAACGTCGTCGTAAGCTCCTCTCTTCTGTGCGGGTTATTTGTGTATCGTTCCAGTCACGGTATTGTGCCTTTTTTTGTTATCCCTTCTCCTATGTGCGGGATATTTGTGTATTGTTCCTTGCTAAAATATAAGGAAATATATTCGCATTTTTTGGTGTGATCTAATTCATGTCTGCATAAGTAGCTCATTAAGATTATAACCAGATATAAACATGTAACAGTTAATTACCTCTGTAACTTGTGTAGTTGGACCCGTGATGATCCTGGACCTATTATGCACCTGTGTGATCTTTTGACTTCCTCCCCCAGGATGGGTTTGGGGTGCATAATAAAAACACTAAACTAACTCTGTCGCCAGGGATGACGTGGGCAGGGATACCTTTCTCTACCTCAGTACTTGCCTAGGAAATTGGGATACCTTTCTCACTTTACCTTGTCTACTAAGAGAATTGAGGGAAGAGGGGGTATCCTTTTATTTAGTCTCTCCCTCCCTCCATCTATCCTCCCCCCCTTCCTCCACCTATCCTCCCCCCTTCCTCCATCTATCCTCACTCCTTCCTTCATCTTTGTCAGGATACTTCAGGTCACTAATGCAAAAACAGTAAGATTATTCAGGAACTAAAACATGTGAAGATCAATAGTTGAAGGTGAGAGTGTGGAGGGAGGAGGGACGGACAGAGAGAGAGAGAGATAAAGAGAAATAAGGAAAATAAAAACAAAAATATAGAAGAGAAGAAATAGGGAGAATTTGAAGGAGCAACAGACAATAGATAATTACCTATTAGTCAGCAAGAAATATTGAGGCTGGTGGTCTCTTTTTTCTTTGATGGTTGGTAATACACTCCTTCATGTTCTATCGTATCTAGTAATAGTTTGTAATTGTAATAGATTTGTATTGTTGTAGTTAAGAAAATACGCCAGTCCCTCAGCCTGGAGAAGAAATTCTGTTCCATAGTCTGGAATAATGTGCAATTAAAGCGACAGTTTGGAGACTTATATACTGTCAGAAGGTGAGATGTAGTGCACTGGTAGAAGAAAGAAGGTAACTGAGAAGGTCAGGTCCCTCTAGTGAGAATGGTTGGACTGGAGAGGGACCTGACCTTCTCAATGACTAGTCTTTGAAGACTGAGACACTTATGCAACATATGGGAATCTTTATTGAAGAAACGTTTCGCCACACAGTGGCTTCATCAGTCCAATACAAATCAGAAGGGCGTAAGAAGAGGAGTAGTTTGAGGTAATCTGCCCCTCAGCCTGGAGTCAATATCCTCAGTCCATCAATCTTGTAGAAAGTACAGTATAAGGCCGTAGAAGTGGCTTATATACTGCAGTCAGGTGAGGCGAAGCAGGAAGAGGCGGGGTCATAGTGGACCCATCCATTAGTCGAAATAGGTCTTCGTTCAAAGGTTGGACAAGGTTGAAGAATTCTTTGTATCAGGATCCCATGATGTTGCAGTGTCTGACAGACACTGCCAATGGACTACACCTCATCTTCTGACAGTATATAAGTCTCCAAACTGTCGCTTCAATTTCACAATGTTCCAGACTATGGAACAAAATTTCTTCTCCAGGCTGAGGGACTGACCACCTCAGAACTGCCTCTTCAAGGATGATGGACTGATTACAACTTCTTCACATCTCTACTGCTTCTGCCAACTTTTCTGTACTCGACTGTGTAGGCGAAACGTTTCGGAATAAAGATACCTAATTGTTGCACATATCTTATAAACCCGTCGGTATTGTATGCCATTTTGATATTCAACATACAATAGTACTGCCAACTCCTTCCAAAACAACAAACCTCCCCATCCAGTGTTACCAGATACAGAGTAGGGAATCATTTCTATTCATATCACGTCGGGTCTTAGGATCGAGCCTCCAGCACTCCTTCACTACGGGCGAAGGATAATCTGGCCAGGGGGTCACATTCCCCTACGACCACACATGAAGGGAGAATGAGGGAGAGACAGACACGAGACTAGATGAGAGAAGCCTAGAGAGAGACACACATACAAGCAAATAGGAGGAGAGAGACCTAGAGAAACAGCCATAGGAGAAGATTAGGGGGAAAATAGGCACGATGGGAGACGATATCGGAGAAACCTACTGTGGAGATATAGTCAATTTGGAGAGGACGAGAGACCTAGATGAGGTTAGGTTAGGTAAGATTTGTCAGAAAATGGGACAAGTGTTTCCTG